GGGTTGATCAACTAGGAATAAAAATAGGTCAGTGACTATAATGAATGATTATGCTTTACGATCCTCAAATGAACTCTGTAGCAAGGAGGACAACAGAGAAGATCAGCGCTGTGTTTGACCCAGTCTCTGCTACTGATAGGGTACTGAGCTAGTGGTCCAATCGCAACGGCAAAGACGAAACGAGCTATGAACTTCAACCTCATACTGGGCCTGCGGTCATTTTTGATGAGCGCCCCTTGCACCCTAAATTGGGAGTGCCTCCGGACGTTGCTACCAGGGTATTGTAGCAGATACCTGAGCGCAGCCGATGCACCAGCACACGCCATCAGTATGGCAAGGACTGCTGCAGAATGAAGTTTTGATGGAAACCTTATGGTCCGGCCGACCATGAGCGAGAAGCACGCCTGACCATCTGGGAAAATCCATTCTGGACGGCAAAAGCAGAGCCTTCCCTAATCGGTCACCAGTGGAGATGAGTCATGAGTCCACTGCGACAACAACATGCGGCACGTCTGATGGCTACCTCGCAGCCAGGAAGCACCAGCTCAACCAAAGCCCGAACTCCGTTTTCTGAGAATATTACTCTCGTTTTGTTGGATTCGCTGGGTGGCCTGGTTTGGGAACCACTTCAATGTATGAAGACAAGCATTGCTAAAGTCAGCGCGGAATAGCCCTCTAGGCTGGCTTCGGTATTGCGAGGGAATCGTCAGAAACGTCTCAGAATCTCCTTTCTCCGAATGTACCCCAGACCTCACATTGCAATGCCAACTCACCACGTTCTGAGGGAGATAGCCAGGGCCACGATACCTCATCCACCATATAGCATTGGCATCGCTCTATCGGACTATCGCCTCCCCTGCGCCTGAATAAGCATCTGCCAGAGAAGAAAGTTAAAGATTGCGACCACCCCAAAAACGACTTCTCCAAATTCTTCAACCTTCCAGCTTCCACTCATTCTGGGCGCAAAGCTTCCAAATCAGTGACCATGATGGTGGTTATGCTATTGATCAGTTGTTTCCTAGAAGAGATAAAAATTTGATAAACAAAAGTGTCGAAATTGAGACAGGAATTATGAGACAACCCAATAATACTCTGCAATTTTGTCAAGGATGGGAAGGCCCTTGAAAAGGATATAGCTGTGAACAGAGCTACCCTTCGAAAACGAAAAGCTCATTGGTGGCGCTGTTAGAGCCACGAAAGGAGGTGATAACTAGACAATGAGCACTTCGCCAGAAAGCTCTCTCGTGCGGGAAATAAAAAAAAACTGGGTGGTACTTACATAATTCCTTTTACTCCGCTTCCGATGAGTTCTGGAATTTTCGAACTAGCCGCAATGAAGGGCGTCTGTTCTATGGACGAGCAGCCTTCCTCTAAAGTAAATGCTATTCAGTGCTTGCTTCCTGAAATCTGACAAATTTACCCCAGCGGCTTCCTGCCTGGTCGTGTTCGCGTAGAAATTCCTCATCGGCTCCACTGTACTTCCACGTAATCAATTTGAGAGATATCCGGACGCACAGGACTTCTGAATAGAATGTGCCATTTATTCTATGAATGCTGTGTTGAGGAAGTTATGGTAAACACTGACAAGAAGTCCAATCGAAATACAATGGAGGAAATTTACTAACGACGTGGCTAAAGAAGTGAATGGCCTGCAGGCGAAGTGGTGACCCCAGAATGGATCACCGACGGGTTTTTTTGCTTCGAATTTGTTGCCATCCTTGTATATGAATGGTGCGGATTACATCTCTATGAACCCGTGCTAAACGAAGCAACATTGACGGCAGATCAGCAAAACAGAAGTCTTGAATGCACTAGTGACTAGAGATAAATTGACTCAAGTGACTCGAAGGGTTCGAAAATTCCATATAGTTACGAATCGCGATATTTTGTGACTACCTAGCTCTTCATTTTGACTCTAACCAGGAAATGTTTTGAACTTCCCATGGAACTTGAAAGGAGACCTAGGTAGATCGATAGAGTCCTGCACGCTGATTACAAATATGGACATTAAAACTGCTATGCGGAGTTTGCAAGAAAGTTGTGAGCCGTAAATGTTGCAAAAGAACGCTAATGGTTAAGTGTAAAAAATGTGGAAACGTGGTTGCTTTTTGCCTGGAACTTGTTATTAAGGTAAATTGGTGCCCTGATTACAAATATGAGATCCGTTTTTAGCGCAGAGCCACGGCGACTGTTATTCCACCAGGTATGCTCGCCTCGCTAACATTTTTTTGCAACTTTGAAGGCTCATAACTTTCCAAGGAAGTTCACGTAGCAGTTTTAGTGTCTATATTTGCAATCAGCGTTCAAAACTCTACCGATATATCTAGGTCTCCTTCCAAAGTTCCATGGGAAGTTCCAAAGCATTTCCTGTCAGTGCGCTTCTATAGAGCCAGTTCAGTGATACTGACCCGTCCCATTTCCCGCAACGAGAACGTATGCGAACAGGCCTTAGGGCTTCATATATCTTTAACTATACTGCTACCTCTAGAAAATATTTCGACCCAATTTACACTCACTGTCCGTCTTTGCACGCCTACAGGTGAGGCATGAGTAAAATTTGCTGGCGTCTTTGGTCGACGTCCTTGTATAGGAGAATTCATAGAAAATATTCGGATTTTCTGGCAAAGAAACAACAGCGACTGGATGGGACGACTTCGACTGCAACATAAAATTGAGTGCATTAAAGTAATGGCAATAAAGCAGTTTCAGAAATTAAATGTAGAAAAACCTTGCTCTTGAAGAAAGATTCCCGAAATGTCACTTTGTGTCCATGAGTTGCGCCATGTTTTAATCGAACACATCTAATGCTTTCGGACGGTTGCTGAAGAGCTATGCACATGTTGGAGGGGAAATGCCGTTGACATAAGAAACTCAAAAAGGCGTTTATTTTGTCAAAGTATAGTGCAAGGTGCATATACATTATACGAAGTTATACGATAAGAAAGTACAACCAACCTTCTTCTCAAAATTCTGTTCCAAATTCCCAAGGGAACGGCTCAGCCAACACACTACGACGCTGACGGTACCTTGGAAATGGGTCACGTTTCCAAAAAATTCTGTTGCCTTCATAGAGAAACTGGTTGGCATCAAAGTGAGTATTGCAGATATATGGCACTTTACAGTCATCAAGAAAATCCATATCGAGGTGAAAGAATGCTAACCTGAAAGAACATAGCAAAACCTAATAAAATAGGTTGAAAATGCCTCTGAGTCTCTCCTTTTCCCACCGTGAATGTTGACATTTGCGT